GGTGTTCGAGTGGAGAGCCTGTAAAAGATTAATATACCTCTTTGGTACGTCTTTCAACGACAAACAATGACATAAAGCCTCATGATCAACAGAGTCAAATACTGCCTTAAAGTCAAGGAATACAACTATAGTAGGACGTCGTAAAGTATGTCTATATTCCAAAATCTGCTGAAAGGCGAGTATTTGGTCTATATATCCACATTCAGGTCTGAAGCCAAACTGGTTTTTTCGAGTTTGCTCTTCGGGAATTCCAGTTAAACATCGAAGTATTATTGTGGCTAATATTTTAGACGCTACATTAGTTAAACTGATTCCTTCGTGATTGTCACAAGAGGATTTTTGTTTTTCCTTATAAATTGGGACGGTTAAGACCAGTCATATGGGGTTACGTCCAGTTCCCATAACTTAGCTAAGATCTCAGTTTATCTAACTGCTAAAACTGAACTGCCATTATTAAAAGTTTCAGGGGTTAGTCCATCAAGCTCCGTTGCTCTCCCTTGCTTTAGATTAGCCTTTTCAACCTCACTAAGAGTTGAAGGGCTTACATCAGTTTGGCATTCAGATTGCTTAGAGATAGTGGGTAACTGAAGGCCAGTTTAACTGTTCTTTAGAGTGTTCTGCTCTTCGGTTTGACCTCCTGGATCGAGAAAGAACAATAGTCTCGACTTTTTCCTATACAGTCTCACTAACATCGTATTTTTAATACGCGCTTCCTTGATAAGTGTGAACAGTTGTTTACTGTTACCTATCGCTGCTGCCTTTCCCATCTCTTCTGCTTTCGCTGCCCACCACTAGTCACGATCATCATATAGGTTTTCTATCAACCTACGCTTAAGCTGCCTCAGCTCTTCATCATGTTCTGAGCCAGACGGGGTGAGTCCTCAAGTATTTATCAGTTCTATAGACGCCTATGAAATCCACTGATTTTTCCCAATCTTTTGGTTTAAGCTACTAGTATATATTACCGCTGTTTCTGCAGCTTTTTGGTTATCATACCAAGCTACCTCAGGGTGAATATCATTTATAAGGTTAAACAGTTCCTCTTGCTGATTCTGAAATGTATTCTTAACTTTTTCATCATTAAGTTGTACCCTAAGGGGTTTTCTTTTTGTGGCCTTTCTACGTCCCGTAAGACACAAACGAATACATGCTCGAATTAAAGCATGATTTGAGTCTAAAAAATGTGCTCCAGAATGATCGACAGTCTTCAGTCGGACATTAAAAGCTTTATCATTCAGTTTAGAGAGCGGTTTTAGGAGACCAGGAATAATATTTCGTGAATTCTAGTTATTAACATTTCTGGCGCATGGTGGTAAGGTTAAGTAAAAAGGGTTAGTCGTAGGGATACAAGGTTTATTAAAATGTCAGGGAGGGATGTGATAGTCAACAAGATGATTTTGGGTGCTGATAGAAGTGTGAGGGCGGTTGTTAATTCCCGGTCGCCCACACTGTCGAAGGGTTTTATTTGGGGGACCTGAATTAGTGATTGTCTTAGCGACCTGAGAGCGTAACTTCAGAGCCCAGTCGTGTGCTGTTACGGGTATGAGGGCTGATGTCACTTCCCGGCTGCCCACACCGTGGAAGGGTATTTTTTGAGGAACCTGAAAAGGAAATTGGATTAGTGTTGGTCTTAACGACCTGGGAGCGTGACCGCAGAGCCCAAGGGACAACTGCTTGAGGCCGGTCGCGCACGGCCTTTTTGTGGAAGGTTTTTGACGTGTTAGCTCCGTTTTCCAAACGGCCTTACCGCCGGAGATGAAAATACATGAGGTAAGGTGAGGTGTGACATTTTTAGGGTCGACCTTTTCTAACCCCACCCCTCCTTGTGGGAAGGCAGCATCGCTGCAGATGCTGGTTGTCCGAGGGAGACACCTTACTGCTGTCACTCCCCTCTACAGTCAACAGTACGACTTCGCCCTCAGACTGTGAGTTGCTGTTTTTAGTCTTACCGTTCTCCAATCGACCTGCCTGATATGGTAGAACCTACAGGAACATATGTTCCAGCCAATATAGCTCGGTTGGGTCATCACGATAGGCAAGCCCGACCACCGCGTCAAGGTAGCAGCTTCGGTCGGGAACTTCAGAGCCCAGAGACCGACCTCAAGCAGTTGTCTTCTAACTTCAGAGCCCAGAAGACAACTGCTTGAGGTCGGTCTCGCACGATCTTTTTTTCATAAAAATTGGTGTTTTAGCTCTCTACTTCAGAAGGCCTTACCATCGGAGATGGAAATTCGTGGGGTAAAGTGAGATGTAATATATTTGAGGTCGGCCTTTTCTTGCACCTTCCTTTCTCGTGAGAAGGCAGCATCGTTGCAGGTGCTGGTTATCCGAGGGAACACCTTACTGTTGTCACACCCCTCTATGGTCAGCAGTAGGACTTCGTCCTTGGGCTTCTTTTAGTCTCACCGTTCTTCGACCGACCTGTCTGACCTGGTAGGACCCAAAGGGACGTGTTCCAGTCCATGTAACTCGGTTAAGTCATCACGATGGGCAAGCCCGATCATTACGTGAAGGTAGGAGCTATGGCCGGCCTACATTTGATGAAGAAAATGTCAAAATACTGAGTCGAGGTAAGTCCAATAATTCCAGCGACCATTTTGTCCGATTTTGAATCGATAAACACATCGACATAAATGGAATTACACGATTAGAGATTAACACAGCAAAACAGTGGCAACATAGTGAGTAGGTAAAAAATAATAAGTCATAAACAAAATCATCAGGAAGAACTGACATAGTGCTTGAGATTTAATCAAAAAGCCAATTTATACTAGAATTAGAGATTATTGATACTGTCCAGGATAACATCGAAGATTTCTCAACTAAACCACTTAACTCAGAGAACTTAGAACTATCAAAAACATTTTAATTCAAGGTAACTTTAAATAAGTTTTAATATTTGGAGATTTTTTCCACTTTATTGTTTTTTATCTTATTGGGTTTCTATTATCCGTCATTCCTTATAGGTCTTAATCATTTACTGAAGAGTCCATTTTGTGTGCATCCGAAAACTGGTTATATATGTATACCATTTAATCCACAAGAAGTCGATAAACTCGATCCATTTAATGTACCAACATTAAATGAACTTGTAGAACAGCTTTCTTCTGTAACAAATAATGATCATGATTGTGGTAATAATGATGAAAATATTTCATCCAATGATAGACATTTATTATCATTTAAGAATACCTCTTTAAGGTCTTCAATTGAATATTTTGAGACTTTCATAAAACATGTTTTAAAAGCAGAAAATTCATGTTTTAATGTTAATCAAGCTGAAGGTAATTCAGATTCATTTAAATCTATTCCTGTATTTTAACACTTCCTTTTGTAAAAGAGATTTTAAAGACAGTATATGAATTATGTTATTAGATTATTATTATTGTTAGTATTCAAAAGCTTTTTATTTTTACACTATGTTAATATTTCTCAACTCCGACTTCATTACAGTCAACAGCATTACTTCTATCCTCTTCTTTCTTATCCTGCTAAGTAGAGTCAAGAGGATCAGTTAAGTAGTTAGAGCTTTTTGATCATAACCTCAATGTATCAATTAAAAACACACTTAAATTGATCTTTTGTATATCAAGTATAATGGTTAAAATTTATGTACTGACTTTTTTGTAACATAGTGGAAATCATAGTAAAAATGTATTAGAATTCCATGAGCATAATTCACACCGAACAATTTAATGCGACGGAAATTCGTCTCAATCGATATTGGTTTCCTTTCCTATAAGTCGTTATGTCTCATGGACGAACGCAGTTGCTTACAAATTAAATCATATTAAAGGATAATGTCTTGATGAGAAATATTGGACAAACACAGATAAAGAACAAAATTTATAAGACAAGATTCTACTGTAGTTATCTTAGTAATACATTTTTTACGTCTAATCATGTTGGACATCCCACGTGTGTACTTAATTTTTTCACTGAAGCACATTATGAAGTAGAATTTCTTATTTAATAAAGTTCCGCTTTCTAGATCTCGGGGATAAAAATAATAAGCTAAAAAGGTGTGTCACAAAGGTACTTATAACTGTTTTGGTCTAATTTATAACACTTATCCAAGATGCTCCAGGCGAGCGACTTTACCAACCCATATTCGTAGATTCTTTTCAAAGGAGAGGCTTGAACAATTTTTAACGGAAAAATGGATTTACACAGCAGTTTTTTTTAATGAGCACACAAAAACAGTGGAAATATCAAGCAAAATATAACTCATAAGTAAATGTTGTTTTTATTCTGCTTCAAAGTTAATGAGATCACAATATGTAGTGAAATATAATTGTTCTGCTTCAGTTATCGTCCTGGATTTATTCAAATTCGTTGAGGGAATCTATTCTATGATTGGCTCATGTTTACATATGAATGGTGTAGATGATAATTATATGTAATTATTCTGCCATTTCCTACTTGTTTCAACACTTTCGAACACGGTATTCCTTCAGTTTGTCAGTGCATGATTGAAATGGTTCTCAAATTACTCACTGCTGTATACTAAAAGCTAACTGAATACAGTGACTTTTCAAGTCTCAATTGTAGAATACTTTATTTACCACTAGATATTTTCGAACTGGAAATTTTTAGTTTTTTAGTGAATACATCCTACATAGTATGAAAATATTTAGTTTGGAGTTAAGATTGCTGCTGGGGTGACGGTCAACTTTCTGAAACTGAAGCAGTAAAGATCCTACAAAAGTCTATTGTTCTCACCATAAATTCATTCTGTTTGTACCTTATCGTTGTCCTTCTCATGTCTATCAAATCAATAAATTCAAATGTGTTTCTATTTGTTTTCTACTCAAAATAAAATAACACAACGAAGTCCCGTTTTCTGCTCTGTAACTTGTTAAACGACAGTCATACTATTTGTTAGTAAAAAGTAGTATAATTAATTTAATAACAATTAATGTTCACACCTTGAATTTAGGTTATTGAGATATCACTGTTGTTACACTTTTAGATTCGTGTTACAGATACACTGCATGTAGCTCAGGTATAATATTATCTAAAGTAAATCTTGATAGCTTTAATTTCCAATTTTTGGAAAAGAGGAACTTCATTACGTTATGTTTTTCAGAAGCACTTAAATGTCTATCAGTTTTAAAGAATTTATCGTGTATGTTGATAACTGTTAAAATGGAAAACTAGTTCTCTACAATATCTTCGTCTTTGTCCTCCGAATATTGGTTTTCATTTAGTCTGTTTCGGGTTTGGATTATTTAGTCCAAAACGTTTTCTGCAACGTCGGATACAGCGCTTTCGAATTGGATGTCGGTGGTTGTATGTGTTTGATTGTAAGCATTGAGCGCGACATTCGCATTTGATAATGAATCGCGTGTGTTGAGCTAATTGAAAGGGAAGAGGATAGAATAATATAATTACTTTGCGTTATAATATGTTCGTCTGTATACAGTGCTATCCACATAAAATGGTCAATGGAATTGAAATTTAGAGAAAACAAGCAAGAATATGATAATCATAAGTTGTGTCAAAGAAGCGTTCTCCCAAATTGATGTTTTTGTTCGTAAACAAATTTACCACTAGTTTAATAATGATAAATGGTTGTCTCGCTATTCTTAAATTTCAAGAGTGGTTGTATTTTTTGTATTTACCTTGATTGTTAATTTTGTGAATATTTTGCAGATTTTGCTGAAATGGATCTCCATCACTAATCTTTAGATCTACATGCTTGTAAAATGGCATTAAACATTGTATGAATCCATTCCTTTTATTCCACAATATTCTGCATCTGAGGCGTAGTTATTAACGCTGCAAAATATGTTTAAGTTAAATATATATTGGAAGCATTGTCAACTTTTTGTCAAAGCTACAAGTGAACTATTTTAGAGTTAACCATATAGGTCTGAGTAAAATGAATGAGTTCCCCTATCATATAACGAAATTGTATTGATCGAGGTTCTTAGATCATGTTCTTGAGTGGTATAAGTAGCCGCAAGTGTCATGGTACGGCCGAGAGTGGGGAGAGTAGGTTCTCCCTCTCAAAATGCTCTCACATGGCCACGCGTATTATATAGCCACTGCCAGGGAAGTCCTACCCACTGCCATCTCGCAGCGGGAGTGTTGTTGAGAGTATGGGAAGCGGATGTTCGGCTCTTTAACCGCGTTGGTGGACACGGAGGGTCCACATAGAGGAGTTGGAAAACCCTAATTCCAAACAATGAGCCCCACTATCCCAGAAAAACAAATGGTGTGTGAAACTATTGTTGGTCACCGGTTACCATTGGACTGCATATCCTGACGTTGCTCCACTGCCTTGTAGGTTAGATTATTACGGTAAAGACTCGGCATGTGGCCCCATAGGGAAACCACCTGCTTCGGTCTGGGCCCCCGGCAGTATCAGCCCACACACAAGTAAAAGGAAATGACAGTAATTACTGGAAATACAGTTCTTGATCCAATTAAAATCCAGATAACTCACATCCATTTAATAACATACATTTTTATTTTTTTTATATACTACGTCACTTATCTACTCTTTTATTCCCACATTGTGTATCCTTATATTTCAGTTTATACAGCAACTCGCCTATTGAAGAAACTCTGTTCTGTCTAAACGATCTCGAGTTACTGACTTTTCGAAAGTTGAATGCTTCCACCGATTGCGAATACTGAAACAGTCTTTCTAAAACGACGTATACCATTCAAACTGGCTTCCTTCAACTTTCTGACCCTAATGCAGATCAGACAACAGATAGGATTGGCTAGGCCTTCGGAAAGTTTTAATATCGACATCTGTTGTCTATCCGACACCCATATTCAAGACTCTGGTGAAGTAATACAAATTCGACCTCCATTTGTCGCTTCGGAAAGCTTGTTTCACGTGCATATATCCGGGGACCCTGTGCCATCTTATGGCCTTGCTTGCATTGGTATCACACCAAGCGTTAGACTTGAGAAAGTACTGATCGATTGGATCTCCATTAACAGTCGATTATTTGCTGTTAGATTAGAAATTTCCATCAAAGTGAGAAGAAATCGGCTTGAGAAATGATGTCTTTTCGTCATCGCCTCCTATGCCCCGACAGATTGCAGCCCGGATGCAATCATGGATGAGTTTTATCACCAGTTATCTGTTCTTCTTCAGAAAGTGCGTTCGACAGATATTGTAGTACTAGCCGGAGACTTGAATGCTCAGGTCGGGCGTCTAGGCACAGAAGAGAATCGTTTATGTGGTCGATGGGGACTTGTTGGTCGCAGGACAGATAACGGGGACCGTCTACTGCAACTGTACATAGACCACAACCTGTTTCTGGCTAGTAATAACTACCAGTACAGTCATTGCCGATGTACCACCTGGCTTCCTTCCTCTGCATGTCAAGCCTGGACTCAGATTGATCACATCGCGATCAGCTACCGCTCGCGTGATTGTGTACAAGGCTGCGGCTCCTTTTGGTATATGTATCTGGACTCTGATCACACCCTTGTTTGCGAAAATCTTATCTTACTTTTCAGTGGCCAACAGATTCATCGTCCTAAACTGATCGATGTCAGTAAATTGGTTGCAACTAAATATCAAACCGAACTAGGTTCTGGGCTAGTTAACATACCACCGAAAAGTATAGATGAGCATCGGTTGCGATTGCATGACGCTTTCGGCTTTGCGAGACATCCCGCTTATAAGCACTGGGTTTCTTTAGGCTCCTACAAGTCATTGAAACCCGTCGGTCTACTTCGGGTGACCGTGCGTTTGACCACAAATGACGACTGTTACGTAATGAAATTGGACATAGCTTGAGTAAGGACCGAGAAGCCTGGTGGTCGATGCCTGTCAATGAGTTGGAAGCAGCAGCTGCACCCGGTAAATACCGGAAGCTCTTCCAACTCATCCGAGCCACTGGCAACAAGAAAGTCTGGTGTGAGCGAAACAATCTGTGGGGATAACGGGATGCCAGTCACCAACATCTATCGACGTTTAGGACGATGGACAGAGCTCTTCGAGTGGTCGTTTTCGTACTAGTGTTTTCCAACTTCGTGGAATGAGTTGATAGTTGTCCCTATCTTTAAAAATGTTCACGTCGTTTCAGCAAAAATCGTCGAGGGATGAATCTACTCTAGATCGCGTCCAAATTACTGGCTTCCGTCATACTTTGTAGATTGTTCAAAATTCGAGAAAGGTTGGCTCGCGAGGAGCAGACTGGTTTTCGTTATGGTCGAGGATGTATTGATCATATCTTCACCCTCCGCCAAATGTTAGAACACCGTCATACTTATCAAAGGCCAACAATCGTAGTGTTTCTTGACATTAGTGCTGCCTTCGATTCGCTGGACAGAACTGTTCTCTGGGATTGTCTATTGAAGAAGGGTGTGCCTGAGAAGTTTATTAACATCCGAAAAGCCCTATATACAAACACCTCAGGCAGAGTGAGGGCATACAACCACCTCTCTCCATTGTTCCATTTACGAAGTGGGGTTAGACAGGGTCGCCCAATCTCGCCATTCCTCTCCAGCCTTGCCATTGATGACGTCCTGGAAACAGCCCTGATGGATGTAAGTGATGGCGGTGTGGACCTGTTGTCTGGAGAAAGACCTCTCGACCTTGAGTATGCGGATGATATTGTCTTACTGTGCGATAATGCCCAAGCCATGCAATCCTCACGTAATCAGTTGGCAATCAGTGTCCGTAGGTTCGGTATTTGCTTTGCATTTTCGATGTGCAAAGTACTTCTACAAGACTGGCAGGATCCTAATCCTGTACTCACCCTGGTTGGTGAGCAGATAGAAGTAGTCGAGAAGTTCGTGTATCTAGGTAGCTGCATAATTGGTGGTGGTGGCGGGAGTGACAAGATCAATGCACGTATAGTGAAAGCCAGAGCGGCTTATGCCAGTCTGGGCCACCTTTGGCGTCTTTGTGATGTCAGCCTGGCTGTACAAGGTCGGATTTACAGAGCGTTGGTGAGAGCAGTTTTGCTCTGTGCTTGTGAAACCTGGCCTTTCCGAGTTGAGGATGTTAGACAGCTATATGTGTTTGATCATCGTTGTCTCCGAAGGATTGATGACATCCAGTGGCAACACCATGTTAGTAGTGCAGAGGTTCAGCATCGTGTGTTCGGGCACAGAGACGATAAGTCTATTGCTGTCATTATCTTGAAACATCGACTTCGGTGGCTTGGACATGTTCTACGAATGTCGTCCCAGAGAATTCCACGTCGTGCATTATTTGCCGACTCTGGGACTGGTTGGAAAAGGCGGAGAGGTGGTCAGTGTATGACATTGTGTGGTGGTATGAAGGAAAGCTGTACAGGACTGCCTATGTTTTTCCTTCGCGACTTCCTGGTTGGGGTCCTGGAGATGGTGTAACACAGTGGCTAGATATGTTATCAGAAATGGCTCAGAATGGAAGCCATTAGTGATCCTGCTGTAACCTTATTTTACTTCATACAAATGACGTAACTTCACTATGTGAAAGAATTATCTTGGGCCGTACTTTTCTAATTGAACTGCCCCTCCCATTATTGTTATTTCACTATCATACACTAATTTCTGTTCATTGTTGTACTTCTTTTTTCTTATATGCACCTTACATTTTTTATATCTACACATTCTCATTTTTATTGTGTGGCGTATATATATCATGCCCCTTCGTACCAATATTTGTGTGTTCAAATAAGTAAATAAATAATAATTATATAACTGACTTTGGGATTTCATGTTTCCTTTTTGTGATTAGTGTGTCTGCTTGCAGACCCATTTTTTCCACTTTTTTAAAAAAAACAATTTTCTTTTTTGTCTCCAATTGCGTTAACCTGAATGGGTGTTTGAGGTCTTACATTAATTTTGCTATCAGCATGATAAACTAACATCTGATCATCGCTACTAGGAATGCCATCCTCTTAAGATCTTTTTTCACTAGTTTTCTGATGGTTTATTATTTGAAATGATTTTACCTACTAATTATTGCAAAGGAGATATTCTTTTTATTACTCAATTTATTGTTCATTATCAAGGTTAGACTAACTGTCGACTTATCAATTCGCATGTAATAAGTTGCTCTTCTACACGAACTATTTATATCAATGGTACGCACTATTTATAATCATTGTATACTATCTAACTAATGATAATTTAGGAGTAATTTATATAATACTATTGAACAAAAGTAATGTTAACTTATTTTGTAAATATATCTTCAGTTCAGACAGATGTTTTAATCCTTTTGAATACCGAACAGACATTCAAACTTTTTTGTGAGTTATGATAAATATTTCAACTCATCATTCTAATGTTATTAAATCTATGCATTTAATAACCGCTGTAAAGAGTGGCTACTGGCACGAGAATTAAATATATAGCTTCCTACTTACTGCTTCATATCACTTATCAAAAATAAGTTCATTATTTTACTAAATGTCTTTGTATAATAGGATGTTTCCAGAATTTTTATCGATTAATATGAAATAAAATCAATATATATAGCTTCATAACTTACATGCACTAAGACAATATTTGTATACGATAAATGAAATTGGTGGAATTTTCCTTAAACCTTCAAATTCTCTTTGAACATCTAATCTTACTTGAAATGGAGCTATACCAGTAAATCTTCCAGTACATGGTAGGGAAATTTGTACATCTGAAAATCAGTAGAGAAAAAACAAACAATTTATTGTTATGTTCTATGGTTGTTTGTTATATTTCTGAAATGTAGTATGATTTTTCTGTGTATTTAATCTTATATAAAGATATACTTCTATAACTTGTTTATTTTTGCGGTTACAACCGAAAATGATCATTAACTCATTAATGAATATCAGAATGGGTTTTGTGGAGATTTTTAGAAATTTACAGGTTGAAATCATGAGTCAACTGAAGCTAGACCACCATGGGAAACCTGGAAGCACTGGACGGCCGTTTCGTCCTAGTGTAGGGCTCCTCAGCAGTGCGCAGCCACGATCCCGCACCCCGCGGGGTTCGAACCCGGGACCTTTCGGCCTCGTGCAAAGCGCTTAACCAACTAGACCATTGAGCCGTCCGGTATCCAATGGTGTTAATGTCTAACTTCAACCAATCCACGAAGTTGCGCCACCGTACACCATTGTCTTCAGTGAGCTGATGTCTCTCGCGCGAAACCTAGCTTCAATTGACTCATGATTTCAACCTGTGAAATCATTAATGAATAGTTAAAATAAGAATATTCTAATATCAGTTTAGAAATACATTTCAATACATTTTTGGTAATGAATTTACATTGAGAACTTACAATGGATTAAAAGTAATTTTATGAACTATGTAGCCATAAAATATCTTTAGATGATCTATTTTAAATGTACTCATTTCATCCTAAAGTCATGGGAGGGAAATTTCCACCTTGTGGTGCATAGATATCTCAGTTTGGGTTTCTTTAAACAATTTCATCGAACTACATGAAGCATTGTATAATTTGTCAATATATTGCGAATTTCCTGAGTTCTTATGTCGTTTAACAGTCAATCTGAAAATAATTAATTAGAATGTATTGTCAACAATACAGAATCGTTGTCGAACACAAATGGCAGGAAGATACACCATATAGTCAACCTATTGGACTTTATAGAAGTGCTCCTGTTTGTCTACCACTTATTGATATATCGTCTGTTGGTATGAAATTAAAATTTAGAGACTTACAGCACAGAAGGTTTTGCTTGGTGGTCTCGATATGCATTTGAGAAGAATATTTTCACCTGCAGATTTTTCGCAGGCTTTGAATTGGGAGGCTCTATTGCATTCGTGTCATGTTTTGATTGATAAGTAAATTTAACTAAGGTGTCTGTTGGTTTGTAAGATTCATTTAAAGGTTTTAAGTTTCCATTTAATAGTGCGATCATTATGTGTTTTTGGATCTCATAAGTTAAAGCATACGATTCTAGATTCTGCTTAATAGTAGTCAAGTTTTGGATATACATAAATCACTTTTGGGAATAAATTTGCTGTCGATTTATTGTATTTCTTAGTATTTGGTTAGGAAGCCCATTTGATCCACGTGCTATATTTGGTTGACTGTTTCAACATCTAGTCTACCTGCTCCTGCCATCTAGATATTTCGACAAGTTATCTATTTTTGTTTGTTTTAATACATCACTATATCTATTAATCGCATAACCTATTCAGGCGAGTTTCTGGAAAATGTAGTCTTTCGTTGTACAAGTAATAAAAGGCCAAATTAGAGATATCGGGGTTGTTGAAAATATGCAGCGAATAGAATGTACATTATTTCGATGTCGATTTACTAAACTGTTAACTTCTAACCGGCGATCACTCAATCTTTATCGTCAGAATCGACCAAGAAGTAAGAAACGGAAATTTGTTGAAATAATTTGTACTGAGAATACTGTACTGTACCAAAATCATAATGTTGAATAAAGCTAATAATAAATAAATGAAATAAGCTTGGCAGTGAATGAGTTAAATTTCTCTCTCATTTTTTTCACTCTACTCACTGGTGTAATTACTTTAACTCCTGAGTTCTTGGACACTTTTCTTCGAACCATGTATTCATTGATGTACAGCTGTGAAAATTAATCCATCAAAAAATTACCCTTCACACATACCACCTTCCATTTTTTTCCACAGGAACCACTGATCTAACTGTCAGGATCCAGGTTTTTTTCCCACCCAATTCGTTATTTGAAGAGGATACACCCCAAAATCTTTATTAGTTAGTTTTTCCCTTGTTTCAAAAATGGGATAGGATAATCAAGTCACAGACAGTAATTCTTTCATAATAAATAGTTTTATGTGAAGCATATTAAAATTCATTTCCGAGAGAAAAAACATGTAGTATGTTTAAATGGCTGTGAATACTATTTCACTAACCAAATATAAATAAACAAATATGCTATGAGTACAATAACAGGATCATCAAAAATATTGGTCATTACTGAAAGTAACGGTTCAGAATACATTTATCAATCAAATTTTTTCGATTAAATCGTCTCTTAAAAAAACATTGAAATGATTCGTTTTGTGTTTAAAAAACATTTAAATTACCTGACTGAGTAGCTGGTATATAACCAGATTTGGCAATATTTAGAAGTGGAGTATGCAGTAGTGTATGGTTCATTGACTTCAAATCAATATTGTAAGTTAACTATGAATAAACCAATAAAAAGCATATTAATTATATAACCGACATTAAAGTTTCAACAAATAGGAATGGTCTTACAACATAATATTTTTAAAAAATGGTTATTATTATTATTGAACGTTTATATCAGCTTGAATACACAATAGATTATTAGAACAGTGAGACTATAATTTATGGACGACCTTTGAGCAACCCTAGACTGACCTTGAGATTGTCCACCTAATACCTAGGACCAAATGAGTGTTATAAACCTGTTTGAGGAATTAGAATTATAATTTACAGTTGATGATTAAGGTTAGGAATTAGATTTAGCATTTTCATCCCGAACTTACATCAACTATAATGTCAAAACTTTATTTAGCTAAGTGGGTGAATGAATTTCGCGCCAAAATCCAAGACCTGTTATCCCAAATCTGATTGGCTTGTCCATAAATTATAGTCTCTTCATTAAAACAATTTTCTTTTTAGTTTTACAATATAAATTAGTAATTTTATGTATTTTAGACAATTTGCTGTACTGAAATACAGCACCTGTTTATATTTTTCTTAAGTAATATATCAAATTAATAACAAATAATGAAAATATCTGAATATTTTCATTGATTTGTTATTATGTAATTTTGTTACAAAAAGAAACAATACTTCTGTTAAATAGATTTGGGAATTTGCTTTCGGTTGTTTGATTTTCCAGACTTTTCAGTAGCTGGATCATCCAGCTACTGAATCGCTTAATACTAATTTTTTTAACCATTTTAGCTGTTAAATTTTAACAATTATATCAAGTGATGTGCAATGTCTCGTTAACATTCTTCTCCTGGATTCTCGCATCCGGTAATTCCAGAATTCATGAAGAGTGCTTCAAATATACATATCAGGAGACACGTATGGAGTACCTTTAAAGTTTTTTTTCCATGGTCATGGAGTAATACAGAGAAAGCTGCTGAGCAGGATGCTTGCTTTCAGGTGACCAAACCTAAATACAGTATAAGACATAGATGACTTAGACTGTTAAGAGGTAGATGGGTTTTTTGTATACAGGCTGGAATCTACCCAGATATTACGATGAGATTACAGAAAATCGCAATATGAACCAAGTGATCAAAATAGTCGACTACTTCACTCTCAAAAATCAGAATATGATTTTAATGTGAAACGGTCTTCGAGCAATATTTTACGTTTGGAAGAAGTTCAAAGCATTCCCAACATTTTGGTGTTCTTACTCAATTTATTTAGAAAGCTTCGCATTTGTTCAACATATTTAAGAACTTGAAGTATATCATGTACTTGCTACAAGTTTTTGAGGGTTTTCAGTTAGGGAATTATTCTTCGAGGATTCAGATGAGGACATATTTGTGGTCAAACGTAGGAGAATCTACTTGTTGGAATCGTTTTATATGACGGCGTAGTATATCCCAAACGTAGAACATATCAGCTAGTAGAAGGCAGGAATAACTGACTGTAAAGCAATCTATAATACGGTGTAGTAAACAAATCACTAGTGAAATATCGGTGAAACATGAAAATATGACGACATCAATGGGATAAGAATGGGAAAAGAAAATGACATAATTCCAACGCGTGGAGTTATATACACATAGTGGGTGACTTTAACTAATGTGTGGGTAAGCCATATTTAGCGATCTCGGTTTTACACAAGTCTACATACTTAGTTTAAACATCGCCGTCAGATTTACAAAATGTAGGATTTAAATTACTTACACGTTCAAAACCAGCTCTCCACTTAACGCGCAACATATCAATGCGTGGAGGGATAGGTCTATGGGCAGATAATGAAATACGATCCAGTGCTTCGTGTAAAAGTAGTCCATTGAAAACAAGGAACAAATGTTCGGGTACTTTGTAAATAAAAATCAATAAGTAGACGACGATATCGTATTACCATAGTGTTCAAAGTGCTAACTTTCAAAAAGTAAACGAATACACATGTTTACAAAAACTGACGAAATCTCGAAATGTGTATCTTGTACAATTTTACCCATAGTCTTCTTACACGTTCACCATACATGAAGTGATCCACCACGTTTTTGTAACTTCGGTGAGGTTGTTATTGAGGTGGTCAAAAAAGTGATTCATACTCGATTTAAGAATACTAACCTTCGAATGACTGGTCAGTTTGTGTAACATCTGTTTCTTCAGCCGTAGCTTTAAAAAATTCCTACTTCTAAGTGAAGCTGTTCACTGATTCACGGAGTATTGTTGTCAATAGATTACAGTTGCCCACTGGAATATATTTTGGAGATTTGAAATGGGTTATTCAGTTAACTGTTTTTGTAAACCACACTATATAAAATAAATCTAGTCGACTGATGACGACATGCACTCTACAATTATAATGACGAACGTGGGAAAAAATAATTTCCACCTTTAGTCACATTAGTTTTAGGGGTTAAAAAGAACAGTAAACAGTAAGGATCTCACATTATGAATGAAATATGAAGAATTAATTTTTGAAACCTCAATTCTATGACTGAATTATCTCATCAGTTTCTTATTCGTTTGGTTTTCGTAAATAAAATTATCTGAACGATTTATTTTATACTTACGCAACTCATCCTTAAAATATCCTTGAGTATATTATTTAGATTGAAAAAATGAACCATTGATCAGTTAGATCTCATACGGTTAACAATCTTAATGAGCATACTTTGTTTAGAATAGCTTTTATCAGTAGGATCCATAATGCGTATACATAGCTAGTCAAGTGGTAACAGTGAGACTTGAACTCAGTTATTTTTCCTTGATGAATAAAACTTTGATTATGTTTATGTATTGTTAATAGCTTTTTGACAGCAAAATCAATTCATAGTTTTGATGGAATTTACTACTAATTATGAATATGTAATATCCATATGAGACTATCTAAGATTTCCACAGTTAGCTTATTTTCAAATACTTTACATTTTTTATAGGCTTTAGCTGATCAAAAATATATGAATATAACTTACTATGTCTATGAATTTCAGGTAGTCTTCTTGGACAACGTAATTTACTAGGGATATTTTGATTATGTGGCATTGATTCAATAATCTGTATAACTAATTGACGATCTACCCAAAGATTTAATTGACCATTAACTCCATTCAGAAAATTGATATACAAGAAATCTGGATAATAATATTTGCATAAATATGTATAAAGTTCAGTAAGTAATACAATAAATATAAGGGAATTATATTTTCGCCATATCCAACCGTTGTACATTATTGCCATTTTATTCTGTGGAGAAAAAGAAATATTACAAAACGATAATACTTTGAAGTTATCATTGTATTGAAAATGTTTAACATTTTGAAAGTAAAATGTTCAATCTAATTTTTAGTACGGTTACTATTAGGTATCTAAAAGAGATTCTTAATACTCATTAGTGTTTGGACTGACTAACAAAATATTCTTTTCACTTGTTATTGTTTTGCTTGTATTTTCCCATTGAGGTTTAAGACTGCAATTGATCAGTCTGTTATTAGCATATGTGCATACTGTGCGTATGCCTCGATATTGCTTTAATTCACAAGCTTTTCTAAGCAAAGATGAATAGTGGCTAGTAGTGGAATCCATGACGCGCGTTTCGTCTTATTTGGGACTCGTCCCAGAGTGAACATCAACTCTGAGATGCAGGTATATCCGGCTGACGAGTCCAAAATAGGACGAAACGTGCGTCCTGGATTCCACTGCTAGCCACTATCCGTCTTCGCTTATAAAATACTCTTTACTTAGTAATAAATTTGAACTTGTGCAGTCAGCTGATGGAGAATAAACTCGAATGAATAAGGTCACACAGTGAAAAACTTAACGTACACATTTTTTTAAAGCCGTGGATTTTCAGTTCAGCATTAAGAAAACTTCCAATAGCATGGAAGTTGACTATTACTGAAATCCAGCTGGATATACTAGTAATGTCTTTTAATTGACAATAATCATCTATTTTAATATCTAAAAAAGACTTACGAAGTATATTACTATCAGTTATATCGGCAAATAATTAATTTAGTGTTTAAATTAAATATCTTTCTACTCTATATTATATAATATAGTCTCTTAAGGATTTAAAAAACCCTACTATCGGATTGTGTTAAAATGTTTTTTATTTTCACTCTATAACAAATTTGAATCGTAAGAGTTCGTTTGAATGTTTAAATGTTAAGCATATTTGTTAAAGTAATGTGTTATTTCGATTTGAACAAATGTACTTTGAAGGCGAAACACGAATGTACTCTCATTTTCTATTCACATATTTCAGTACATTTTATTATATGCTACTAATTATGATGAATAAATTTCGAGAAAATACCTCTTTCACATCAAGATTCTTTCTTAAGAGCGATTTTCGAAAGCTGTAATTTAGTATACAAGTATTATTATTATAGATACTATATGTATGAAAATATCAATGTTATGTGTTATGGTTAAAACCTTTCTACGATATTTAGTTATTTAGGCAGGTTATTAAAGATAAGAGATATATCATAAGAGTAAGGATACTAACTATCGGATTAATAACTTTAATGGCCTAATATAAAGGTTCTTTAATATAAATGGTAATCATTAATGGTGATTGGAGAAAATGAATGAGGAATGAGAGGATCTGTCCGCGTGTTGAGAAAAAAGGTGATGACTACATGCTCGTTGTGGTTAAATGGATAAAATTAGCTACATTTGTATTGATAACTATGTTAGAAGAATGTAATTCATCAAAGCTTCCAACTTATAAAATAGACGATATTAAACAATGAATTTAAGGATGAACATTTTGATCACAATACTAATAAAAAATAAAAGGCATAACTGGTCTTCATTGCTGTGTACTGCTTACTTGCTCTTCAAATACCCTCAAATTATACAGAAAAATGGTATAAATTAATTACTTGCAAACCTAGTGTCATAGATACAGGTAAGCCGATAAATACACAGTAAGTTAGATATGACTCATTGATCATAAGTCAGATTTACCCATCATCATGTGTAAAATACAGATCAAAGTAGAAAAATAGTCTCATCTTAAGTATATTCCCTGGGTTCATCATTCATATTTGATACGCAAACGGATAACTGCATCTGTTTAGTTTGACTGCTATCGAATACTCATGAGTAACCTAGTTCTATGCTATGGAGTTTTCGGCTAATTTAATTCGATCCTCAAATTTAAGATTAGAATATTCTCAACTCAATGGCGCTGAGGAATGCTAACTATCAGAATAAACTGGTTTACATGGGAAATATTCGTCCTCAACTTACGGGTTTTAAGTAGGAAACTATCATCTTCTGCATATTGGGTAGATCGAATTTCAGATAAAATAGTAACGATGACCATTATAAACTTGTTGAAAACGCTTAACTTAAATTCACTGCATATTAAGAGCTAATGAGCTTTTATCAAAATCTAATTATAAATTAAATTGTTTGTAAAAACTGTGTGTTTATTGCCTTACTAATCACTGTTTTACATAAGCTACTTTTATTATTTCATCGGCTACATTTAAAAACACTAATTAACTATAAGTAACGTTTAAACAGTCCTCAAATCAACTCGTTTTAGTTCGTGATCCCGATTATTGCTTGATCTGTTTTTCATTTTTTCAGATATTTTCATTTTATTAATAAATTACGTCGCTATTATTTGAGTCTTCAGTAATAAAGAAAAAAACCCATTTAACTATCCACAGCATTTCTGATTTATACCTTTATACCGTCTAATATATTTTTTGTCTTTGAGTTTTTATATTTGTATTATTGTGGTACGTGCTACTTATATTGATGTAAGTAGTATATGACGCGAGTTAAAAACGTAATGTCTGGCAGCAGAAGATTGGGAACATCAAGAAAGGAAGAGTGGGAACACAATGCAATTTGTAAGAAACGCATGAACAATGAATTGTGAGGCAATGGATTGATGTTTGCAACAGGAACAGTCCGGTTTGATATTGTGGATTGACATTTTGCAAATTAATGATTTATTATGGTTTTTCTATTTTACCAAGTAACTCTGTAATTTTGTGCTAAGTATGATTCGATTGTCCCCATCCGTGTTCTGTTCACTGCATTATAATGTTAGAATGATTTAAGAACCAGTTCTCTTCGTACAGCGTTTCTTGAACTTCGATAATTAGGTCGATGTTCGTTGTGTAGAATAGATAAATGGACACCGCTATCAAGAATGCAATAAAAGCACTATGAATATAGAAAAAACCTAGAAGTAATTGATTCAAAAAGATGATATTTTTCCAGGTGGTAAATATCTTTCATAAATTTAATGTTTCAAATAAACCTGCTACCAACGCAACTCGTCAGTTCGAATTCAATGTATTTTCTTTTCTTTTAAGGGTAAATATTGTATTTAAATTAAGTATATCTTTGCTTGTGAAGAAAAGCTTGTTTATCTTAATTTTCGCTCTGTATAGTTATCTTTTAGGACATGTTTTTTTTTCTCAAAGGATAATGATAAAAATGCTAGAAACCATTTTGTAAGGTACTGAAAAACAACATATACCTTTTTTTAATATTGACACACTTGTATATACACTCATTCTTTCGTGCACACACATACATTTTGCATTCCATACATTCCAAATTTTCATGTTCTACTTTATTGCCTTTTTGTTTAGGGAAAACAGACTTGATAAATGAAATTCACTTTTTGCAGACAAGGGATGAATGATGAAAAAAACTAGCTAACGTTATGTAATATGAAATGAGTAACTATGGCATGAGGAAATCCTCTTGTAACCATTATCTTTCAAAGATAAACAGCTGAAAGGCTTTATTTTAAATTTTTTTTGACGTAGAATTAATGTATTTACTAGAAATTTATAAATAATTTTCTTTAAATACCTGATATATTGACTTGTATTTTGTTATGCGAAATTCCCATTGCCTTATAACAATCTATCAAAAAGTACCAACAACTGAATACAGTTACTGAGTTTATTTTAATATATGGCATTTTTAACATATAGATTTTATGAAACAAAATATTTTCCCCCATCTACACAGTCCCTTGGATTGTTCTATAAGCAAAATTATTCATGTTTAATTCAAGTTTTTCACTGAATACAATAAAAACAACAATTATAGGATGTGAGAAGGAATCCAAAATAATTTTTGCTATTAAAATTTATCATTAAAATATTTTATTTAAGTGAATAATGTGATTACTTGGTTCACTAGTTCAAGTGAGAAGACATGACCAATGGAGTTCAACCGGGTCTGTTGTGAGATAATGGTGGATGTGTGGCACAATTTCGTGGATTGGTTAAAGTTAGACATTAATACTATTGGATTCCGGCTCAGTGGTCTAGAGGTTAAGCGTTCGCGCCAGACCGGTAGGTCCTGGATTCAAATCCCGCTGGGAGGGATCGTGGATGCGCACTGACGAGGATTCCCACAATGGGACGAAACGGCCGTCTAGTGCTTCTAGGCTTTCCATGGTGATCTAGCTTCAATTGACTCATGATTCCAATAATTAAATTATAAAAATTACTTAGAGTCATGTTATTTGTTACATGATTTTATTATTCATGCTTATGTATTTAGGAATTTTTGAGACTTTCTAATGCCAGTAAATTTTATATTTGAATAAGAATTATCCAAATTAATGAAGTAGTCTATCTTCTGATGTGTAAAGTATTCACCACTAATATCTTATAAAGTACTATGTTAATCCAATCATATTCACAAATAAGAATTCTACTTTGGGGTTAAATTGCATAACACTATAGTTATTTTATAGCCTGATACTGTGAAAAGTATATGATGAAAGCAAAACGTTTTCATTATCCGTAATAAATTTAGAAACTTCCTGGGATTGTTTATTATTCTTACATTTTCTTCAGGCCACCTAATATTCGATTCGCAAACAAATTTTTATAATGTATGGTATATTGCGTTGAGTTTAAGTCTACAGATGTTACCTCTAGTTTCTAAGATTGCAATTACGTCACCGATTTCTTTCCAAATTTGTGAGAATGATTAATTTTAGAACAACAATAATCAATAGAATGCTGGTAAAATGAATTTCACTATACAAATAATGAAACACTTAGAATAAAACTTTCTCAATAATGATAATGGTTTATTTGGAATCACTACAAACCTTTTAAAGGTAAACCTTTTATTTCGGCCTCTACGAATGTTATGATATTTACATTATGTTTTGTTGGAACTAGTGATATTCGTCATATAATCCTGTACATTCACTTGGTATTTTCTTGCTTGTA